CTACAAAGACAGAGAATATTCTAACCCGTTTATGCTTCAGTTGTTTAATTAATTTTATGGTTAATAGGTTGAAAAAATCAAATCGTAAAGTCGTATGCAAGATACCTGTGGCAATAGTCTTCTGTTATTACACGATAAAAATGGAAATTAGGTTTTTTTAAGTAGTACACTACAAAACTAACTCAAAGCAGGAAGAGCTAAAGTTTATGGACTACTCAATCCTGATCAGTGAATCGATTTTTGGTAGCATTCATTGAGGGAATCATTTTTACCACTGTGAAATCTTTGTATATCAGTTAGCTGCAATTTTTAAACTTTCTGGTTGTAATACCTAAATTACTGGAAATTATTAGCTGGAACAATGAATGCAACTGTTTAAAATCGGTCGGACTTCGTTCTAGTTACTTTTTGAAAGGTGATTAAATTCCACCTTATTTTTTCTTTTTATCTTCCCACTTGTCTTTTCTCATAGACAGACATAAAATTTACTAGAACTCAAGACTCACATACTGGCAGGAACTGTTAATACCATCATTTTATTTCCCCATGTTTCACAAAAGCCTAACAATGGTAAAATATCTATGCCACAACTTCATCACCCAGGTGTATATTTTAGACTGTTTTTGTCGAAAATGATGGTATGATATTTATGAGAATTCATGTTTCTTTATAAATCTGGTTCTTCCTACTTTGGCGATGCCTACTTACACAGTCAACAAGACTTTGGAGGATAAAACCAACATCACTGTAGGTATCTACTGCTTAGTCAAACAGTTATAATCTAGTCTCTGCTCATTTGTCTACAAGTATTTTAAGGTAGACTTGTGTCAAAGTGTATCTACATTCAACTAAGTGTAGTTCATTTCTCTTATAAAAGAAAAAAAGACAATTTGGAGAATAAACACTTTCCTTTTCGATGATGTCATTCATAAGAGCTGTACACTTATATTTACATCACTAAAAACAAATAATAACCTATTATTGACAATACTTTGAGACTGAAATAATGAATTAACATGAAGAAATAGAACAGAAACATGAATGTATGTGCAAAAACGATGAGGCGATGAAAGTATTGGTAAAACCAGAATTTAACAAGGTGTGAACTGTCTCTAAAAGTGAAGTATCTTAGTCAAGTGTCTTCGTCGAAGGCAAAAAGAAGGTAGAGATTTTTCTCTACCTTAATTAAACTGATAATAGCATAAAAATTACTACCAATAAAATTTTAAAGAATGAAACGAAAGTTGAAACCAGGGCAAAGGAGGAGACTGATCATACTTCCTCCGATCACAATGACTAGGCTTGAATTGGTGACTGGCCATTGCTTCCACTGTGTACAAGTTTTGAACTCGCTTTCCAATTAGAACTTTTGGCTTAAGTTCTGTGATATTCGTAATCGACAATTATGATGAAGATTTGTGACTGGGTCCAAAAAGGTATTGAAGCATCGAACAGCTTCTTGACTTGCATTCCACTCTTTAAAACAATGAGTTAGCACTCTGAAACGCATCTGCAAATGATACTCTTTGTATATCGTGTAACTAGCTTCACAAGAGCAGGTAAAATTTTAGACATACCTTGAGGTGGTTCACGGCGTGAGCTTGTCCTTGAAGCATCCACGTATTAATTGTTGGCTAGGAAAGAGTAATCAAATGTCAGCAGAAAATAATAAAGTATCACTTTCGAAGTGGCTTTCTTCGAAGCTGTTAAAAGTCCCGCGGCGTATTGCTTTGGCTTCAAGTTTATTTAGACAAATCTACAGGACTGACAAATTTGAGTCAGTAGTTTTCTATGTTTTTCCAGTTCACCATAAATTTTGTATTCTGTTCAGATTCGTGTTATTCTCAATGTCAATGAACGAATCGTGTTCCTGTTTCTGTTAAGACAAGTCCATTTCTGAAAATGTGTAAATTGTCAGTGTTACTTTGGCTATCCGTGAATTGATCTCTGAAGAAGGCCATTTTTCAGAAGAACATCCAGTGACCTGTTTTCTAACTTGTCAGCTTACATTTCTGCTTGATTCTGACGAATATGTGAGAAGTATACTTTTTCACTAACATTTTATGCAGTTTTCTCAACGGTTTTTCAACAATCGTATCACGCACGGACTGGTAACTCACACTCAAATGAAAGACAACACAAAGATAAATGGACTGTAAAATCCAGAATAAAAGATAGTCATGTCGTTAGCTACTTACGTATGTGGCGCAGAAGCATGTCAACTGATAAATGTATCTGAATTGTGCAGTGATTCTGGGGTTATCAAGAAATCACAAAACTTGCTTCCTATATCATGATAAAATGTGATGGATAATTTGTTGTTTGCCTGGCTGAGTTAACTTTCATTTAGTGCTTACACTTATGAATCAGTCCCATGTGGTAGCGTGGTATACACATATTGCTATGGAACTAACTGGACGATTGATATACTTTGCTTGGAATTTTTGTACTGATTATTAAGTCGAATCAGATAGTTTTTGTACAGTAATACGTTAGTATGGTACTGCATTTCCTCCTATAAACTATTGCTGGTCGATATTCCTCCATCCGATGAACAGTCACTTGGCCAATTCCAGTTTAAACTGAAGGGAACAGAAACTGTCATAATTCAGATTTTGTCCTATCCATGTAGATTTCCTAGAGATGGATGGTTTTATGGACCCATACCTTCAAAGAGTTTCAAAAATGCCATTTTTTTACTTCTCAAATGTTGAACATATACTACTCTGGGATTTATCCATTCGATTAAGAATCGATCTGGCATGACCATGATTTCATATATTGACTCTTTCAACGTAATAAGTGAGGAATATGTATAGTGGTTTATGTGTCTGTTTACAGTTATCACTCAGACTGTTCTTAAATAGTCAACACAGATTTACTGCATATGGCCGACGGAAACGTTTCTGAATGCTTCTGTTAGAAACTTAATTCTACTTTCTTGAGGAAAATACTTGATCATTTGTAATTCTCACTACTTAAATATAGCAGTGTGATAAGAAGAGGAACTATTTTCTGTTGTTCATATGGAATTGTTTTAAAATTTGTTGCAAAGCTGACAGGTTTTCATGTTTAATTCTTCAACGATGCATACCGTTCATATTACTTACAGCTTTCATTCTACATTCATTTTGGAGTTTCCTTAAAACAAGTACTTTTTTTTTTTCTTGAAGTATTGCGAAGCCTCCATTTTTAGTTAAAATGAATAGAATAATCATATACGATTAAAGATAGAGTGAAAATCTGAAAGTGAAAAACCATACTTGAGTTTGGGGAAACTTTGGGCACCGGTTACGATGCATAGTGATATCAAGATTCTATTCAAATAAAAAAGCTTAATCATTTCAAAAAGATGGCAAAAACCGGTTGAGACGTTTTCCCTATGAACTTTCGTGTATCCTCGTACTGTACTACGGATTTCTCAGAATCAGTATTTTTACCAAATCGCTAGTGGATTAAATATATAATCGGAGTTTAACATCAGGCAACTCATTATTTAAGACAGTCATTTCTTAACTATATCCATCTACAGTTCGTTGTGGTTGGGCACAGTTTAACTATGAGGAATGTTAACTTCTTCAGATTTGTGTTGCTACTGGATAGTGGACTATGTAGCTCGTTAGTTTCTCGTAGTTAGTCAAACTCAAGGTAGTTCTTATTATTATCATCTATCCAGAAGCCCTCAGCTGATAAATTGGAGCATTCACAACCACTTTTAGGTTTGAAAAGATAATATACACTAATAACTCATGAATAAGTATACTGCAGGACATATATTGTGTTTCTTTATAGATCTTTATGAAACAATTACAATGTCGCATGCTGCCTTATAATATTTAGCGTTAGAATTTGTTTTAAAGTCATTTATGATCTACACTTTGTAAGTAAAAATAATATAACACATGTATACCTACTTGTCCGATAATTCCTTTATCCCTAAAATAATAAAAGCAGGAATACTATAAAGATTGTTATCCTTTTAATTAAATTACTTTAAACGAACTGAACATGCAATATTTTTACTGATTCAGTTTTACCCTAATGATGTTTTTGTTGATAATTAGTTAGCCACTTTTATTCAGCAGTAGGATGTATTTTAAGTAGGTTGCACAGTATGAATGAATAAAGGTGTTTTAAAGTGAATTTAAAAGCTTTTTTAAGATCCTATATTGTTCGTTATATTATTTCGCTAATAAATATTGCGGAACTGATGGATCATGAGTAATTTCCTTTTTTCCTTCAACTGACAGAATAGATAGAAACTAAACTTAAGAATCACAGGTAGAAAGTCACATGAAGTCATCAAACGTTGACTCCTGATATTCCAATGACAGTAACTTAATATCTTATACTTTTTAAAGTTAGATCAGTGGGCTTACCATTGCTTATTTGGTGGTTCGAATACACTTTCACTTTGTTTTGTATCAAAAATAGTTACCAAGTACTTATAATGAAGTCTACTTACTATCGCAATATCTCACAATCATAGAGGGAAGAAACTTTCTCTATTATAAAGTTTTTAGTGAACATTTCACCTTTTAAGTATAGAGACTTTTTAAATTGAATTATGTTTGCCAGCAAGCATTATATTTCTTTCAGCAGCTATAAATAGTTCAGCAACATTTATGAACGTTCAGATTAATTATTTCTAACAACAAGTTTTCATCCAAGACGTGTAATCGAAAGCCTATGTCTTATTTCAAAAGGAACGAAGAAAAATCACCGATAATATAATATCTGAATAATTAAGTCTTTTATTTATTGTGCAGAGCATCATGTTAAAACAGCACTGTACTAAGACTATTTTCATTTTTAGACATGCGATTCATCTAAGACATACGTTGTCAATAATCCAAATTTAAATGTTTATAATGATGCCAAGAAAAATTATATTCCCCACGAAACAAATGAATAACGGACTGACCGTTCAGTGAGTCGTCTATCTACCAGTGGAAAAATATCTTCACTAGAAGTTGCATGTCGATGAAAAGTAGATACAGATAAAATCAAGCTTACTGTGTGATGTCAGTGTAAAGCAATCACAATTAGAACATTCAGCTTGTGAATAAGATAGAATATTCAGTTGTTCAAGCACTTAATACTGTAGAAAAAGCAGAAAGCCCACATTGACAACGCAATCCAAGCCAGAATTCATCAAGTTATAAACCATTTTCGATCTCAAAGATTTCATCAAGTGAAGGAAATGCTGCGAATATTATTGAAACTATGTTTTACGGAATAAACTATGTCTTATACGCAATAAGTGACAGAGCAAAGCAGGTAAGTTGACAGTTTTAAACCAAACTAAGTTTTACTCAACTTGTCATTACAAAACTGACCAGTTACCCTAACTGAATAGGGAAAACTGAATCAGCATTAAGTGTTAGAAAGTACGATGATAGTTTCCAGTTGAATACTAGATTTATGTGTGACGTGATCTAAAGTTCGCAAAACTATTTGAATTTCTTGTGGATTGCTAATATATTCAGCTTATACACTCCAACTACCATAAAACTGAAGTATTCAGCTCGGAAATATGTGTTCATATTCATCTACAAGTCAAAGTTAGAAGTATGCTAAAAGTTAAACAATCAAAAGAGTCTTGACTTATGCTATCTAACGGATATTTAGAAACATGAATAAGCTTGAACATCAAACAGAACAAAGGTAAGCGACTAAGCTATGAAGTTGATAGGTGTTTGCTTTGGTGTAAATAGTGACTAATTTTATTTTCATACTGAAACTATATGTGTCCCTAGCAGTTATTAGGTCATACAACTTTTCTGAGTTTATTATTTTCTTTAAACAATGTCTTTCTGATTGAAATAATGCCTTTTGGCATTTAGGATTATCTGGGAAAGATTTTTACTCGCTGTGTGGCTTTAGTTGCTTATTCCGAATAGAACCGTTGTGAAAAAAAGTTGTATAAGAAAATGAGATAGTTCCACGATAAAAAGGCAAACCATGATAATCATTTGTCTAAGCCGTACACCTGATTGGGAATATAACTTGTCAAAAGTGTGGTGAAATAAAAAGCATAAACTCTGGTTCGTAATCAGCGTCAACTTTACAAATATTTCACAAGAGACATTGTATTCGTAAATAATACTTGAAAATTGAAATGAGACTTTTCCATCGACAAAAATTAGAATAAGAAAGCTTTTTCAAATGATTTATGTTTTATATACCCGTAGTGAAATCCAGGAAGTCTTCATTGGTAATCCTCACAAGGATAATAAGTATTAAGCGTACTTATAGGACAGTAGTGAACCAACAATATATTTACTTGGAGCATTGAGAGAAATATAGAAATTCATATGATCTAATGTATGACTTTAGCCAAAAGTGTATCGATTCAGTTTCCTTTACGTCAGAAAAGTCCTATCAAACAAATACAGAAAAAAATCAAAATCTATCAAATGAAACAGCTAATGACGACGAACATTATTAGGGTTCAGAAGATATCAGAGTTTTTGCGTCATATCACTTTAGTCCTGTAACCATTGCTTAAAACTGCAATTACATGGTGAAACATTTCCTAAACTTTCACACAACAAACCTGTCCATTTATCAAATGGGTGTTTGTAGATCTGTTAAAAATGTTTTTTCCATGACCCATTAGTGAATGGCTTAGCTTCGCGATCATAAGACTGAAGTCCTAAATTGGATACTAGTGTTAGGCAAATGGTTGATTGCGTTTTTATGAACATTTATACTGAAAGGCAAGCTATCCTCTAAAATGTTTAATCTGTTGTTTGGTGATTCATGGGAACTAATTGGTTCCAACGAAATTTTCATCATGAGTCAACGTCAGTGAGAGAAACAATTTTAACTCAGAAGTATTGCGTAACTATTTTCAACTATCTAAGACTGAGTGAACACCTAAGCGTTCGTGATAATCATTGATGATAATCAAGCCGTTATTTCATAGAGTTAAGATTTAGCACTTCTAAGAAGTTTCTAATCATAACACAGAGTTTTTAACTAAAAATGCATAAAAATGTAGGCGAGACTAGTTGTGAAACTTTGAATCATTTAACTTTTGTTTATTTGATCGGCTGTAGTTAGTACCGGTTTGACAAGGAATTCAAATAAATTTCTGTTGATATCTAAAACCTGCACTGACTTCGTAATTAAAAACCGAAATTAGTTACTCTCCAGGAACAATTCAATGTATGCAGTCCAGTTCCGCAGGAGGTTAACCGCACCTCGAGTAACTTAACGGGATGCTCTCTGATTCCAGCACTCGGTGAAGCATTTCCAACTTGCTCAGGGGTTAGCAGTTCCTCTGGTGTTGCAAATGCACCTCACTGAAAAATGCTAAAAGGATAAGACATTTAGGTTCAATATTTCCTACCCAGTACCTCCAACTACTTATAAAGTAAGGTGAGTTAGAGCAGTGATCTCTAAGGCCAACCGGACAACCGATAAAGAAAGAGTTTAAAACAAGAGTATTTGCAAAATACCCTCGTTTCTATTTGGCGTGCCAGTAAGTATATGACAATGTTAACAAATGTTTAACGTTCACATGTGTCTTCTAAATACTTTTATTTCTGAAAGATTCAACGTTAACATTGAGCCAACCAATCAACTAGAAAAAGGTATGCACAAATTTCTCATATACTAACAAACGTATAAAGGTTAGCTTTTTAAGAATTCATCAGTTATAACAAACTAGTATTATATGCACTGAGAACATCATTGTGAAAGAGATTCATAAGCTTGACTATTACGAATGACTCAAGCGTAGGGATTATGTACATTGATCTTTAAATTACCAGTTCATTAGGCTAGCAGCTTAAACCATGGCGTGTATGAAAATTCAGTCTCATTAATCTTTTTGGATAAATAAAGGAGATTATCTCCTAATTTTTCATAGTTCTATAAATACAACATGCAGACTACAATCTATGATGCTTTCAATTTTGTGAATGATTTCACCATACATTTTTACTACTAACGCTTCACTTACTACTAATATCAGTAGAAGTCGTTTTTGTATAGCATTACTTCTACACACTTGAACCACTTTATTGCATCTCACTTAATTCGCTGATTGATGGAAATAGGAAGAGAGAAACATTAAAACTTCAGTCAAATCTATTAAAATCCAAGTTTTAAATGCCCTCATTTCCATTTGATACTTCTCATCCACTTTAACCAGCTGTGACTTTACTCGCTGTTATTAGTATGATTGAAATAACAAGGTCAAATGAAAACTATTCATTTGGGAATGTGAATTATTCCTTATAACCAAGTCTTTTTGATTGTTTGTTATCAAGACTACTGTTTTACTATCTTTTTCGTTTATTTGAATTTTATCTTCATTATTACATTGACACTACCGACTTATTCTTATGTTTTGTTTTCACCAATGTTTCACATTGAATTTCTCTACAAGTATGTTATTTTAGAAACTCAAAAATAAAGCAGAGGAGATAAGTGTGACCGAAAGTTCGCATTTTTTTTAGTTTCTGAGTTCAAGCAATATTCTAACGAAACCTACTTGCCTTGTTTTTTGTGCAAACTGAAACTACAATTAAAAAAGACACGAAAAAATAATTTTAGCCACCTTGATCGTTTTAACAAGTAGTTCTTCTTAAAGAGGAAGATTAGCTTCGTAAAAAAAGGAATACTTTATGTGGAACTTTTTTCCATATTGTTCAGTTGATCTATTGATAGCCACTTATCTGCAGTAAATGTAGCATCAACATGGTTTAACTGTTTAAACTAGCAAACTAACCAGTCAACAGAAATATCCCATGCCGTGTCGAGTTTGTTTTGGTTTAACAGTTCCGACCTAACTTACTAATCAGAATGTATCCCACTAGTGAAAAACAAATTGCCACAAACCCCCAAATTCAATTCTTAGGTGATTTAAAACCTAAAGATTTTCACTAAATCCCAGCTGTATAAAATACAAAAACTTAAATTCCGCTGTATTCCTTATTTCTTTTTTCTATGAGCTTCAAAATCCACTTTCATTGAGTTATTAAGTGTTTATTTCTCTAAGCTAGGTGAGTCTTTTAACTCTTCTATACCTTTACGTTGTCCATGATGATATCATTTCTAGGGTAGTATTCATCACGCACTGACATCAGTTAGAGAATCACTGAAAACCTAGGAGCACTTGATAGCTGCTTTGTCCTAGTATGGGATTCTCCAGCAGTACTCACTTATGACCCAGCTAGGGATTGAACTCAGGACCTTAAGGTTTCGCAGCAAACCCGACAACCATCCAGTCAACGGCTCGAAGTTCATGGGTTCACCGTTTCCAACCTGAAGATCCTGTGTTTAATCCCTAGCCGGTTTTTTGGCGCGCTTTGCTGAGGAGTCCCGTAATAGGGCGAAACAGCTGTCCAGTGCTCCCAGGTTTCCAACGGCTGGCCAACTGATATCAGTCCTTGATGAATACTACCTCGAAATAAAGACCTCTATTCACCTAAAAATACAATATCATTATTAGTACAAGGGTTTTTATATGATACCGTCGCTGATTGGACCAAACTGATAGAAATGCACATTCTAGATTCCACTGCTAGCCACGATTCATCATTAACAATATCATTATTAGTTGTGGAATACGTTTCTGAATGTTATTTCCATCTTTATAAAGTTCCTTTCATCCTTTAGCAAGAGCAAATGACCTTGTGAACAGTATGAACAGTTTTCTCGCTTTGATTTTGCTACTTTATTCAATGTTATCACTCAAGGATTATTTCTTTATAAATCTGATTAGTTTAAATGTGACTGTTTCTCAGTTGCTTTCGATATATTTATGATTAACTCGTCAGTAGTTGCAAGATCTTCATAGTAATAACATTCATATCACTCTTTTTTGACTATTGTATTCCTCCTTTCAAGTTAATATGAGCCCAAGATTCAAGAAAATTCTGTAGTGATTTCAGTAGTAGGCAAATAGACCCACCTCAAAGATTAGAAGATCCATAGCATCAATATGTACATATATTTTACAATGAATTTCCTTAGTTGTTTCTAATTATTAACTTTAGGTTATTTATGACATTTATTTCATCGTATATAAGCTTATTGTGAAGTTATAAAATTGTTTACGTCACTCCGTGCAAAGGCGCAACTAATAATGGCATACCTCCAGAACCAAGTACATATTGATGCAGGACTTCAAGTGGCACATATATTATATATAGTTTGCTAATATATTTCGATCTGTTATTATTTAATGTGACAACTAGGGTTGATACGTTATCCATAATTCAAATGTGAATGACATGGTTTGTTGCGCTAATTGGTGAATCCAT